AAGTCAAAACAAGTTATATCATGTAAAGCTTACAGCTTATCGGTTCTGTGATGATATTGGCCGACCGGCTCAACACGTTGTACGTGTGAGTGCTGATAAGCTATGGCATATAAGCCATTAAGAAGGCTAGGGCAAGCGGGGTCTCGGTAGTGTAAGGGATAAGAGCACGGTCCCCGGAAAGGACAAGTACGGGTTCGAGTCCCGTCCGAGACTGGAGTTTTGCCCACAAATCGCCAACCTTGTGAGACTTTCGCTTCGCGCACTGCGGCGTTAAAACAGCAGTTAACAAAAAAAAACATCAAGTCAAAACAAGTTATATCATGTAAAGCTTACAGCTTATCGGTTCTGTGCTGATATTGGCCGACCGGCTCAACACGTTGTACGTGTGAGTGCTGATAAGCTATGGCATATAAGCCATTAAGAAGGCTAGGGCAAGCGGGGTCTCGGTAGTGTAAGGGATAAGAGCACGGTCCCCGGAAAGGACAAGTACGGGTTCGAGTCCCGTCCGAGACTGGAGTTTTGCCCACAAATCGCCAATCTCAACTAATGATATCTCCGTAAAGAGAAGTATCCATCGATAAATAGCATCTGATAACGGTGTTATCTTTACTCAGAACATCTCCACAGTATCGTCTTGGATTGTCTTGGGTTTTCAATGGGTATTTATTTATAAGAAAGAGAGCAAAAGTTCGAGACTTCCAATCGAAGGCGTAGGCACCGACTTTAAATGAATACCATTTGCACTGTCCTGTTAGTCATGCGTCAAATTTCATGTACAGGAAACTGCTATTTGTTTCAAAAAAGGAGTGGAGAGTTAAACTCACTATAACTTTATCAAAGAATTGGGGAAGCTTTCGATGCTGTTGTGTCGGAGAAGGATTTCGAGCTCTGTTTTAGTTCCATACACTCACTCAGCTGAACAGCGGAAAAACCTTAACTCAGCTGAACAGCAAAAAAAAACTCAAAAACTACAAACTTTGAAAAGGGGAAAAAACTTTAAAATCTCTCGGTATATAGTGTTGACACAAGAAGGAGAGCCTGGCGTTAGCCGGGCGATCCGACTGGTATTGATGTATCAACAATGCCATGTTCCCGGCTATCGAATCTATAGTCCTTCTCTAGCGCGTTTGCGAGCAGCATGCTATCAAATGAGAGGCAAAATTTTCTCAAAACTTTTCGGACATCCTAATACTATATTTTGTGACGTGATGAGGACTGAGAATAGTTATTGGAAGAATTACTGACTTATTTCGTTACACATAATTTTATAACTTTCATATGGATTGACATGAATTAACGAAGGAATGCCAAAATTGACGTTTACCACTACCCCTTTTAATCGCCTAATCGCTCGAGCCCCTTTATTGTTTGCAGAACTCGTTCATTATGTTGTCCCGAGTCTTCTTACTGCTGCTTTGGATTGAATAATCGAATAAAATAACTAATAAAAAATGGGGAAAAGGCTTGCTATTGGCAATTACCTTTCGCCCTGTCGGTTATCCTGTCAAAGCGCGCTGATTTATGTTACACTAGTCGGATTGCCCGGCTATTTCCGAGCTCTCCTCCTTCTTATGTACAAGTGGCAAGGCCTGATACAAACAAAGTGAACTCAGAATCTTTGTTAGTGGAGTTCATACATTTCAAAGGGTAGACCCACTTGAAAGTGCCGACTTGGTGAGACGGTTTCGTCGAAGTTGCTTCACTTCCGCGGAGAGATAAATTTTCTTACCGCACCCAAAGTAAACAGCAGAAGGTGGAGTGGCATAGCTCTACAACAATCATGAATGCGTATGTNGAGTTTACATGAAAATTTATGGTTCAGAATGAAACCTACCCTCATGGCTCTATCCAAGCATCTGCAGTCAACGCAGTCAGTTCTTTGAGTACCGCGTAGTTGCGGAAGAACCTACTGTGGTATTAGCGTAGCGTATGTTTGAGGCACATATGTTTCCAAACTCAATTGTCAGATTCAACGATGCATCCTGTTCAAAAATGTTTCTATTCTGCCAACAGCGTCAGTTCCTCGCCTCACCATACCACGTAGATTAGCCAGAGCCAGGATTGCCTTTAATTTTGCATTTAAAAGATCTGCCGTTTACATCCTTTCAATTTAACAATTCTGTCTTGGCCTCACCTTCCCTTTCCGTGCTTCATAACAAATGAATAGAATTCTGGCTGTTGCACATGAAATAATGTGCGAGCATCCTTTTCTCCCTTAGGCACGTCACCTTCACTGTATAACAGTTCAGGTTCTCGTTCAATTTGGAAAAGGCCGTGAGTGTTGTGTCTCTGTCGGCTGTTCGACGAACTGCCTCCTCTTCCCTACCTTTTCTGAATGTTACATTCCGATAGTCTGGCAGGTGAACTTGTAATCTACAGACGGTATGTGACTTTGATTGGAAACCAAATCCAAGTAGTCTATGTCCAGCTTCCGGTACGCACACGTATCTAGCGTTCGCGAATTCGTCGATCTCATTAACTACTCTGTTATCGAAACCGTTCTCGTTCCGGATCATGCGGAGTGTTGCTCGATCAGGTCCTTTGTACACATATTTGTACATGTGTTTTACAGCTTGAATCATCCCACAGATCTCTACTTCAAATGGCCGCTGTAGCAAAGAGCGAAAATCTGTTGTACGGCACCACCGATCTGTTATCAAGATCTTTCTACCCAAACACATGTTCGACCGTCATTTGGTTTTCGAGACATCAGATAACTGTCAAATTCTGCACTAGTTGCATCTCTAAACTCCTTCGGAGATTTTTAGAGCATCTCTTACCAACCACGACGACCGCGGACTGTCCGCTCCACACGACCTGTGCATCATGCAGGTGGTCACAATATTGTAGAGGCGAGGCTCCAATCCTTGGTCAGGTATG